CTTCTTATATTTGCCGGCAGTTCGTTGTATGTTTTTAAACCTTTATAGTACAAATCTTGCTTTAGGTTTTCCGTTTGGCAGAATGGGAGTTTAAAATTATCCCTAACTCTTGTTTTATAGGTGTGAGTGTCACTACTATACCTAAAGTTGTCACTCAAATATTTTGGAAGGGCTCCATTCTTAATATTATAAATAAATTTCATTGAGTGGAAGAAAATTAATTGTTTCACATTTAGCCAGTTTAACTCATTCAGCATTGACGAGATGCTGGTATCGTATCGGGCGTTAAGAATGTGTCTCATAGCCCTATTTTGCATTTTTTGTAACTTATCTATCTGCGTGTCCGATGTTATAAACAAAATAGTAGGGCAGTATATGAAGTGTGGTTCGACAATTGATCTATAAACTATGACTTTATATCTCCTACTTAGATGTTTGCATGTTCTTTTCATAAATCCAATTTTTTTTCGACGTTTTATTCACAATATGGTCAATGTTATCATGGAATTTTAATTTATTGTCAATTTGAATACCAAGATATTTAATTGTAGTTACTTCTGAAATTTTTTCGTTCTTAACATGTAACTCATGTTGTTCTAGACTCGTTTTATTAGATGAAGAAATTACCATAAAATTTGTCTTTTTTTACATTTAACATTAACTTATTTTTGCATAACCAGATATACAGTGAGTCCAAGTCGTTTTGCATTTTATGGATTGCTGCGCCTAAATCATCTTCGCTTATGGTCAACAATGCATCATCAGCAAACAATCTTATCTTACAATACCTGATTGATGATAAAATATCGTTGATATAAATGTTGAACAGAATAGGCGCTAGCACTGAACCCTGTGGAAGTCCAATATCCACGAGCAAATCGTCAGACAACACTTCCCCTATGACTGTGTGCTGCTTCCTGTTGGTTAAAAAGCTCTCAAACCATTTCAGCTCAACCTTCTTGATGCCTATTTGCTGTAACTTACCCAACAGTAACCCTCGATCAATGGTTTCAAACGCTCTTTTTAAGTCTATAAATACTGCAACTATAACTTTTTTCCCCCTCAAATCTTCTTTCCATTGAGATATAACCCAATTGAGAGCCGTTTCGCATGAATGTTTTGCCCGAAACCCAGACTGTTCTTTGATTAATATATTATTGGTTTCAATATACTCAACCAGCTGATTTTTTACCACTGTTTCTAAGACCTTCTCAAGATTTGGTAAAGTATTGATTGGTCGTAACTCCTCAGCCTTAACTGTGTTCTCAACCTTTTTGACCGGAACTACCGTAGATACTTTCCATTCCTCGGGCACTACACCAGCTGCTAAACTTTTGTTGATAAGTTTTGTCAAGAAGTAACCTAAGTATGGTAATGAATCTCTGATTACACCTTCACTGATAAGTTTTTTCCCACCAATTTTGTATTTAAGCTTTATAATAATTTGTTCTAAATCTTCTAATGTTATTTCCTCCAATTTAAATGTAGTATCAATATCATAATAATTATTTTCATTATTTTCTATGTTCTCAATGCTGCTATTAATATCCACTATACTGTCTACGATAAAAGTATTTAACACCTCTGCTATTTGTCTTTTGTCTTCAACATACCGACCATTATGGTGTATTAATGTAATATCGTCCTGATTACGTTTATAACATATAGTTTGCTTTAAGTGTTTCCACATTAGCTTGCTGTCTGATTTATTATTTATAATTTTATGTTCCATATATTCAATTTTTTTCCTTTTTATCATTTTTTTGTATTCTTTTTTAATTTTATAATATTCGGACCAGTCACCAGAGTCTGTTGCTAAGTTGTAAGCCACTAATTTTCTTTTATTTAATTGGGTTAATTCATAATCATAGCATTTATTTCTTATCTTAACATTTATTTCTTTCACATACATTAATTGTTGCATACAGTTAAGCAGACACGAATTTATATACGCCAGCATGTCATCTAATTCAAGTTGGAAAATTATTGAGAAGTCACAGTTTCTAAGTAAGTTAACAAGGTTTTCTCCACTGTATTGTTCCCAGGAGACTATCTTCGACACCGATCTAAGGGAGATTTCTTTTCTTATATTAATATTAAACACTATGGTCTCATGATCAGATATTCTGTGTCGATCAAGCCTCTTAGGTACAACGTGTTTATCATTCGAGAACAGAAGGTCAATCTTTGTCTCCGATATCTCAGCTATTCGAGTATTAAAATCAACAAGTTGGTACATGGAAATAGAGCTAAACAACTCCTTTAGTTTCGCACTGTATGTCGATTCTTTGTTCATATTAATATTAAAGTCGCCAACAATTATATTGGCTGCATTTCTTTCATTCTGAACGTTTGGAATAAACTTTTTTGTTTACTTATTCTTTAGAACGTTCCTGATGACATGTTAACGTATATTTCAAAGGCATTCTGTTTATTCCGGCTGTGAAATGGGATTATCCGGAATGTATAAAGAAACGCAGCCATTATTAGTCGTTGAATCACATATTTCAGTAACTATTGTTTCTAGATATTTAATAAATTCAGAGTCACTACTACTTGGAGAGTGATAAACAACTCCTATTTGCCACTTTACCTCAAGATTTTTTAGCTGGACGATAATACACCACATATTACCATCAAAAGATTTATTATATTTTACTCTGAATTCGAGTGAATTATTAACGTACATAGCTACACCTCCCGTGTGCCTGCTGTGTGAGTTACATCTTACTGTTGTGAACGATGGTATACTTATTTCAGCTTCAGAAATTTCATCTGTTATGCTTGTTTCGGAACACAGTAGGATTGCAGGATCACACAGTTCGACCAATCTATCTATTTCGAGTTTATTATGTATTAAACTGTTTACATTTTAATAAATTAACTTCAAGTCTTTTGTTGTTTTCGATAAGCATTCTCTAGAGTTGGTTGCTAGTAGCCGGTACGCTCCTTTTGCAGTTTGAGCTTTGTTTGGTACACAGGGCATTCTTTACTGGATATGCTATGTTTAGTGTCTAGCTTGAATCCGAGATCGTTATTGGCGTCTACACAGTTACCACATACCGGATTGGCCACCCGGACCTCACATTCTTCAGATTTGTGTTCCCCCAAGCAACGGCCGCACCTCAGCTTTTTAGTACAGGTGTCTGCGTTGTGGTTGAACCCTAGACATTTAAAACATCTTTTAACATTGGCTGCGTTTCTTTATACATTCCGGATAATCCAATTTCACTGCCGGAATAAACAGAATGCGTTTGAAATATACGACAACATATCATCAGGAACGTTCTAAAGAATAAATAAACAAAAAAGTTTATTCCAAACGTTCAGAATGAATAAAGAAATGCAGCCATTTTGTCCATCATATACTCCACATTGATCCCATCCAATGTTAAGTCTTGCATGTTTCAACACTTCAGAGTATTTATCATGATCAATGCTAATTATTGCACTAAAGGTGTGCCTTGAACTGTAATTTTTCTTTTGTTTAAAAACCTTCAGGCATTTTAAGTTAGCATTTTTAAGAAACTCATTTTGAGATTTTATTTTGGCAACTATTTCAACATCACTATACTCCTCTCATATTGGTGACTTTAATTTTTGGATTAATGATCTTAGATTCCTTAATTCCATACACCGCTAAGTCTAACTTCTTTTGCAGAGTATTCTTAATTTTGTCCTTCTCAGAATTGTCGTTTGCCCTAATAACAACTGACCCATTATTTTTATCTATTACCTTATTAATTTTCATATCAGTAGCATCAATCTTATTTAAGTCTTTTTTTTGTTATATCAACCGCTTGCTTCGCCTTTGGTTTGACAATAATTGGTGGGACACTTTTCAGAGCTGTTGAATAAGACATCTTAGTTTTTCCTGTATTTGTATTTTGTTCCCCAACTTTTCTTACTTCCTGTATTATCTCCTCTCTTTGCTTAGATAAACTTTCAGCAGATTTTTCAAAATGCTCTTTATTAACCGTGCACAGTTTTTCTACCCTCTTAATCAGCTCATCTTTCACCCTGTTTACTTTTTTAATATTGTCCACCACTCTCTTAATTTCTTTATCATTGTTTGCCAATAATGCAGCGATCTCCTTATTGCGATTACTTATTAACTCCTCAATTTCACTTTTTTGTTCGCAAATATTTATTTTATTGCTATTCGCTATGTCGAGCATCTGCTTAAGAGCATCATCAACATTAGATATGTATGTAACACAATCATGACACATAAATCTCAGAAAGGGGCAATTAACTAAGCCTTGCAGGCAGTACTCATCTATGGCTGCACACGCTTTTGTTTTATGGTAAACTCTACCGCACACACCCTTACAGCGAATACCACCATCCCCCCGTATGCCCTTGTGGCACCTGTCACACTCATCCATTGGGCTTAGTCACTGCAAGACAACTGCAGGCTCCGTTAATGTCAATATATTTTGTTTTTATTGCTGTCATCCACCACTTCACTGCGCTTTGGTTTGCCGTTTTGTTAATTTCGCGACAAGTAAACACGTATGCATGTATGCATGTATGTATTTATGAGATTTAATTTATTTCTTTTAAGAATGTTTATTAAAAATCACCTTTATTTTTTAACGCTCAATTGTGTCATAATAGAGTTTTTTATGTTGATCACAATGTGTGGTAGGTTTTACCATGTTTACCAAAAAGAAAAAAATTGGGTACATTTATCTATTGAAAATTGGTTGAAACGAACCTTTCAATCTTTATAGAAAGTGGTTCGGTTTTCGGTTCGGATCAAACATTTGTGGAAAATTTCGGTTCGGTTAATGGTTCAGTTAATTAATAGAAGAGCGGTTTTCCGGTTCAAAACCGGTTCGGTTCAAAGTCCCTGCATAGAATATCCAAAGGTCGAATCAAGTCAACCCAGTAATTCAAAATTAGTAAATTTGCACATTCGTGCTACTGGCATAAGGGTGACGATATGTAAATACTTACCGCCTGTTCATATACTATGTATATTAAAAAACAACAACTATGAGAAACTTTTGGCCACTTTATTGAACGTTCAAGTCGACGCACAAACATTGCGCTTCAACCAAATGCATATGTATGCCGGAAGCATTTTCTTTTGCCTGCAGCTTTTAAACGCCAAAAAAATCATTAGAAATCAATAACAAGATATATATACGTATAAATACTTAAAACTAGTTCCTATAAAAACTTCTTATGATATAATAGATAATCAATAAAAATGTATAATAATTAATTCCAAGAGTTTAGTTTAAATATGCGGTGAAGTGCGGCTAAGGATGGATAACTAGCATTTTCGCGCTGAAATCCATAATTATTTTCTTTTTTTTTTTACTTTTTAACAACAGGTTATAAATTAATGAGTACCCGCTTGACGACCAGCATCAGCTGGAGTTAACACACTTGGGAGTTTGTGTTGAACCGCCCAGCGGAGTTCAGACTGTTGTTCACTCGGTTGATCACTTTCCTTTGTGTACAGCGTTTTCTTAACGTCGGTCGGAATTGTTGACAGCAGCAAGTTTAACCAGCAACACCTTCAGCGTATTTTATCGCCTTTGAACGCTCACAATTTTTGCAGCAGTCGAGTCAGTTAACGCTCATAAATATTTCACCAATATTTGTAGAAGAGACAAGAAACATTAGAAAAATTAACATTCAAAATATCTAACAATAATTTACAAAAATCCATGGTTTGAAAAAAAAAGCATTTACATTATTTCGCAAAGGCGATCTAAAACTTTGAAGCCTATTTTAAAATCTTATTTTTGTATTAAACTTTTGCTGGGATAGCAAGAATATTAATTTTCAGTGGGCGCCCGCACAAGGTGCATGCAACCACAATACTGACGGACCGCAGGAACCAAGCAATTCAAAAAAATATATGTAAATTACATGCCTAATAGTAACATACAGAATCGAGAACTATTTTTAGCTAAGCCTTGTTTTTCAATCTATAACTAAAAAATAATAATTTTCAAATTAAAACAAGAAAAAAAAATTGGTTTCAATGCAAATCGAGCATGAAACTTATGGCATTGAAGGTTTGAAGATGTAGCGAACGTCGTAAATAACAAGTCACAGTCGTTGAGAGTATTCATTCTGCTTTAAAACGATGCACAGCAAAACAACATACGACTTTGAAAGTCAATATCCCATTGGAGGTGTAGTTATTTTAGATCAGCTTACTGTCCATCATATATGAATTTATATTGGTTGTATATTTTTCTTATAAAAACTGATTTTATATTGCCATCAAAGCAATAATTTTTTTTTCACTTTTCCGCTTGGGCTATCGAATCTCTCTTTTGTTGACGCCAGTGGCTTATGCTGTTGATCTATTCTACGATCTTGTCAGCATTACGTTTATTTTTAAAGAATTACATATTTCCGCGGCGACCTTTTTATTGTTAACCGTTGTCAAGCGACGATTTTTAGTGGATGGGCTCATCTTTAATAGTTTCTTTAATTTTATGTTAGCGCAAATACGTTGAAAATGTTCTTACCCGAGATGTTATGTTAGCGGATTTTTTAATTCACTGCATTTTGAATATTGTTCATATAACTAAAAAATGTCTAGAATCGTATTAAAAACCCATTTCATTTTTTTTTTTAACAATTCACCAACTTCAAAAATAATTTGCATTTTTGCGATAATCAATGTGATTAGAAATGTTTCTGAGCGTTCATAACGTACAAAGGACATACAACACCCAAAGACCCAAGGTTTTTATGTTTCTTTTTTTTTTTTTTTGAACAGACGAAGTGAACCCAGAGAGGTGTTTTTGCACTGTTTACATGCTGACGTCATTCCGTAGATTAATGGTGTTATCGTAGAGAGCGGGTATTCACCGCAGCCGCACTAAATTGTGGAGTGATTATGGGTAAGCAACACTTCAAACTTCAACAAGTACTTATGAAATTTGTCAATGCACACACTTGCCCTCTACAAACATGCACACTATTTGTGAATATTTTACACATCCTATTTAAGGAATCTACGGCGTTTTTTTTCTTAAATAGTAATTGTAGCCGCCACTTTGCAATCAATCTGGTCGCCATTAGCACCAACCATAGGCAGACTGAAGGGGGCCATCCACTCTTTACATTTCTCTTGACTTTCAAAAACCAGTAAATTTGTAATGTACTCAATGCCGATTGCAGGACGATAACTAAAAAGATATATAAGGTCAATTCAAAGTCTTTAAATCAAAACTAAATTTCTTTAAATATTAACGTACGCTTTAATAATAGTGCGTAAGGCATTCTTGCGCTCTCTTTCGATAAACCAATCAATCAAATGGCCCGCCATAAGAGGTGCCGTCTTGTAAAGTTGGAAAAGCTTACAATAATTGCCCTGCGCCCACGCCGAACGAAAACCTAGCGCATGTGCAATTGCGGGATTCTCACGTTGGTCTTGTTTTATTGAGCGTAAAACGGTAGTTGTGTCTAGTGATACAGTATGTCAAATAAAAAAATTAAACGTATTTCAATTAAAATTTATCAGTAATACTTACCCAAGGTATTCTTTGTGAAGATGTAATATAGTATTCGATATGCTGTAAATTCCAATGTATTAACGCTCGGTCCCACCTCGGTATAAAGCATCTTCAGTTGAGTCTGACATTGATTGAACTCTTCGTGATCGCCCTTTTCCATTGCAATTCGAGCATGTGTTTCATAGACTTCTACAGTAAATTTGTCACGAATACCTTGAACCTATAGTAAGCGTGAATTGGTTGTAGTTTCACATTCTATGCAATTATGTATATAAATATCACATATCGCTCATTTAATTAGTTCATTCTCGTGTAAAATCCATATTAAACCAAGTTTAAAACTTTGTATAAAGGAACAAAATGCCACAACTTTTCATCCAAATTTAAACATCTTTTTCTCAGAAAGATTGTAATTTTTTGACTATACAGTTTTACAGCCCATTAAATTTTAGTCTGATAATGCGAGAATATTAAGTTAATAAAAATTACCCATTCAATATAGTACTTTAGTATAATAAAGTACAAGTTTCAAGTCGCTAAAAATTATCATTGATTCTATTTTTTTGTCGAAGGTGTTGAGCCATTCTTCCATACAAAAAAAAATTTGTTGATGCGTTATATGGAAAAACATGCTCAACACCTTTGAGAAAAACATTTAAAAATCAACTGTAATTATTACTTTCCGACTTTGTTAGACTAAAATTGAAAGGGCTACCAACAAAAAGTTGGAAATTTTGATGGCAATCTTTTGAAACCTGATTATAGGTGTATTCGCGTATTCTTCTAGCCAAAAACTCTCAAAAGCAAAATTGAAAAGAAATTGTATTTGTTCTTTCTCAAGGAGAGAAATATTTGCGAAAGTACACGAACGCAAAACCAGCAAAAACTTGCAAGTATTTAGTATAGCTGATCGAGATTTTGTTTACATAAATGAAAAGAATATAGATTACAAGTTTACCTAAAGCAATTAGTTAAGCAAAAGTAAGTATTATTTGCTTTCTTCCGAAGCATTTTCAGTTCTAAGAAGTTATTTAAACTTAAAAATCATCAAAATAAGTTTAATTTTTTTCCATAGATTGCAAAAAGACGACTTTGGTCAGCTGTTTGTCTTGCATCAATCTAGCAACCTCTCATCAAAATGAAATGTCAGTTTGTTGTCTCAATTTCCTACTGTACTGGATTTTTGTGTACGCGAAAAGTTTTTGATACGCGAATGCACCTTATATTTTGTGAATTTTGTTAAGCTTTAAATTTTTTATTTATGTGGGTTTTGTTATAGATCAAATTATATGTATTTTAAATGAAAATTACAAATAATTTTTATTTCAGCTTAAAATTGTACATATCGTACGTGTAAAAAAATAAGAGAATTAATTCAAAATTTACCATTTGGAGATTTCATCCATCAATAGGCTTCATAAGAATATGTTCAGTCTAACAGATTACTACACTTACCAAAACTAGCGAAGAGATGTGTGCACATATATATCTTTCAAGTTGCTTTTTTTTTGCTTATCAAACTATGTGAACTGGTCGCAATACCCACAAAATTTTAATTTTAAATTAATTCCCCAGAAGATAATTTAGGTAGGCCTTCTTAAGAGAAGCCATCCTAAGAGGCCTACCCAAGCAGGGTTGAAAAAGTACTTCCTTGCATGCCTTCTAGAAGGGCTTATCCATTTGCAATTTACGGGAATACAAAAATTTATACTATCTAACATTACAAATGAATTCCAATAAAAATTTTAAGTTACAATAACACATATTTGATATAACCCTTAAGCAAATACTTAAAAGATGTATTTTTATAAATTAAAGAAGCAACTTTACAGAACTCCTCCAAAAGGCCTTCTGAAGTACGTTCTATAAAAGCCCTTCTAGAAGGCCTTCTGTGGGTAGCGAAAGGGGAAGCCCTTCAATTTAAGTCATTCCATACAAAAAAGAAAGGAGAAAGGAATGTAGAGTGGAAGGCCTCTTGATTCTCAGGAAGGCCTTTCGGAAGTGCTTTTAACTCCTGAAATTATCTACTGGGTCTTCTAAAATAAGTTTTTAAATTGAACTACATCCCCAATATAATTCAATATATTCAGGCAGGTTCCGCAATTCACTTCCGAGTGAATATCAATCAACTCCGCTTTGAATTAAAATTGGCAGGGGTTGAAAGGAAAGGAAGTGAGTTACAGAACTTACCCGATTGCTATTATTACATGCTTACCGTCAGATCCTGACGTATGGATTTGAGCTGATCGCAAGCGTAGTAGTAATCCTGATTGTCTCTCCACTTCTGTTTGACATTTTGTAACGAGTGCGTTAACACCTCAATGGGCCGCACTTCCGTTGGTAATGGTGCCTTAGTCAATCGCAGGAAAGACTTTTCCAAAAGCCTGCATGTGCCTACAATATGCAAATCTAATAAATCTAACCCTGTTTCAAAACCGCCGGACGTATCCGTATCCATAAACATGCGCCCGCCCAAACTACCCCCGTATTTTTTCTGTTTTAATTGTTTCGCATGACCGAATGGAGAGCTAGCTACCGCGACAACCGATTTTTTCGTTGAAGAACCCTGCGAGAAACGCGCTGCACGTTGCTGTAATCGTGCCGTGTCGTCATCTACCGCCCCGCCTACAGATGACGAATAAAATGGGGCTTTGGATTTCGTATTTGCTGAACTGCTGGCGCCCTTAGCATTCTTCCCCTTTTTAGAGCTATTACCTTTTTGTTGCTTTTTACCGGAGGAATTAAATGCTATAAAATTTTCATTCGACCGACGATCAGATGTTTCCGAACTGGTACTGCGACGTATCTTACGACGAGGACTTGATGACGAACCGCGAGATCGCGACCGAGATCGTGTACTGCGTTTATGATATTTATGTGGTTGTGGGGACCTGAAATTAAAATATGATGAAAAGAACTCCAAAGGAATAAAAAATTTAAATTCTTACCGCGAACGACTTCTGGAATTTCTTGAAGCCTTTTGTACGTTTCCGAATGAATTACGTTGACCTAAGCGCGCATTTAAACTACGAGATATACCCTTATTATTTTTTTGTTGTGAATTTTGGTGATTAATTTGATTTTGTTGATGCTTGTATTTCTGCGCGTTTGGTGTATGCTGTTGCGACTGCTGTTGTTTTTGTTGCTGATTATACAACTGCATTTGTATATTATTTCGCTCACTGTGTACACTAGGTATAGGCTCATTATCCCAATCACGTGTCCAAAGCTCATTGCGATTCGCAGCTGCCATTATTTTTCCTTTCAAACAAATATCAATTTGATCCTTATCCAAATCAGTAGCGCACTTGGCGTAACAACGGGCCACATAATTATTTAGTGACTCTGGCCAGGCATCATTTGGATTATTAAACATATTTATTTTCTTGGTTGGCGTCTCTACAGAAGCTGGTTGTTCATTTAATGTACTGTTGTCCGATGGTTTTTGCTCTTCCACAACACTAGCGCCATTCATACTGCTATATGGCATAATCGGTGGTGGTGGTTTGGATAAGTCGGCCGTTATCGATGGCGCGATTATAGGCGGTGGAAGCGAAGTGTTAATAAAACTACCATTCATTTGTTGACTTGTATTTAAGCTTTCAAAATGAGCATCGAAAGCAGCCTGCTGCTGTTGTTGTAGTGGACTTTGCTTCTTATTCCTTTTACGTTTCTTTTTGATATTATTATTTGCATTACTCATACTAACACCATTAACGGGATTGTTATGGATGTTATTATTTTGAAAAGATGGCGTATTCAGAGCAGTTGGTGAATTCTGCAATGGATTTGGTGCATTCGCCAAGCGCTTTTGCTGACTTAAGTTAAATCTAATCCCGCCGAAACTTTTTTGATTACCTTGAATTTGATTGCAGCTGCCATTTGGGGTCATTGGTGGAGGTGGCGGTGGCCCAGAAGGTAATGGGGGCAAGTTCTTATCCGATGGTATAACAGAGTTGCTAAATCCAGGCGGAGCATTATTGCTTTGATTTTGTTGCTGTTGATGTTGCATTCCATAGCGCATATAATATTGATAGTACTGGCTATACTGTTGCTGGTATTGATTGGCATACCAGGGATTTGAATACCATTGTTGAGCGGCGGAGGCGGCGGCGGCACTAGGGCCACTATGTTGTTGCTGCTGCTGCATCTCTTGCAGTTGTGGAATTAGGGGCGCGGCTAAGGCTTCGGACATATTTCAGACGCAAATAACTTGGCGATTACCTTTGATGGGACAGCCGTGGGCGAACGTCCCTTATATGAAATTATCACCTCAAGACCGCTACGCTTTACAAAACTTACCTTTTCTAATAAAATTGGATTTGAATAAAATTTGTTTACTGAAATTAGTAAAAAAAAAATTATTTTATTCCCATACCCCAAATAAAAATCGAAGGTAAAAATTTTCTATGCTGTCCGCCATTTTGTACATACCCGAATGCAGGCGAGGCCAAGACAAGGCTTTCCTTATGAAATGATTTTTAGCACAATACTTAGATTTGCTCACAGAAATAATATTACCATATAATTGTCTTTTTATTAGCAAGATATTTTAATAACTATTCTGTCTGAGCACATATTAATTACATTAAAAAATAATTATTTTTCTCCACGAGATGGCAAAGAATGAACTCAGTTTCCAAATGAATGACGAAACAATGCCACTGAACCGTAACTATTGTGGCGAATACTGCGGCAACACAAAGCGAACAACGAGAAATAGGCA